TATATATATATATATATATATATATATATATATATATATATATATATATATATATATATATATATATATATAACTTCTTGAAAATATCTTATTTAGGTTGAACTATTTTTTTCTGTTTTCTAGAATTATTAATATCAATAGGCAAGTAACTGAAACCAGTTAAATGCTTCATAATTATTTCTTAAGCAATTGGTATGATGGACTATTTGTATATACACACACACATATATATGATGGACTATCTCTTGGCAAACAACTTTGTGCATATTCAAAATAGCTAGTTGCCATATTTTTGCTCATCTTGCCTGTGGGCTAGTAATTCCAAATAGAATAACTTCTATTGCATAATTAATATCTCGTAACAAATCTAGCATCATGAGGAGAGACTCTTATGTCATCCTTGCTTGTAAAGAATTTATATTTCTTAACTGTTGAAAGATATTCTAATAATGTAAAAGCTATGAGACATTAACTATACGGTGAGCCATTCATTTCTGAGGATCTTTATCTTGTTTACCATGGGCTTTAACAAAGGATGTACTGGATCATCTCAGGATGAGACTAGGCCATTAGCTTGCCTTCATGGCATTCATTTAACTTACATTGATGGACGATTATCGATCTTTGACTAGATGTAATTCTTAATTTGTGTCTTAGATTGCAGATGGAATGACTCTGGAAGTAGGTACTGTTAATCTTATGATTGAGACACGTGGTGGCACTAGGCAGCAGGGAGGTGCAATTTGGTAATTTCTTGGTCTCTCTCATTGTTCGAAGTGTATATGTTGCAAATTTGCATTTATATTGCCACCTTTAGACTTTTCACGTGGAAGAACAGTTTTCAGGATTAATTCATGTCAGTACTTCGTGATATTTGCAGTGATAATAATCATCTAAATCAATTGACATAAAAAAGAAGAAGCTATATTGTCACTACATAGGGTTGGCTACGTGAATCTTTTCCCACTGTTGTGCTTAATTTAGTTTAAGGAGTATCAAAATTCTTCCTTGTTTAGCTTTGGTCTAAACTTTGCATGCAATGATTTCTGCTTCAGTTCTGTTTGTTTACCTGTTCTTTTTCTATGGTTTCCCACTGTCTTAACAAGTCAGAATAACTTGCTTTTTGATAGTGATTGTATAACTAGGTTCTTCATTATAAAGTTTTCAGCCTGCTGGCACTTGATTACCATAGCAATAGATTTTGTGGTTGTGGTCAAGGCCACAGTGATTGATAATTGAAATAGACTATAAGTCTTGACAACAAGAGGTTTTCTGATCATGTTATGGAGGAAATGTAAAACTATTGGTAAAATAAAAGACATATAGAAAGTTAAAGGAAAAATAAAAGGTATATACCATGGTTCGCCTTATCGGTCTGTACTGGTATACCGACCAGTTGTTGGCACAGTACGTACTGAACCATACTAAGTGTACTAACACATGGTACGATGGGGCATATCGATGTACTGCCTCTACCGATTCCTTTTCGAACCGGTATGTACTACCCATACCGAGCATTATGTCTCGGTACGGCAAACTTTGGTATATACTAAATGGAAAGAGAAAACTAAGGAATAGTCAAGTTGAGGGGGGAAGGAGAGAGAACCAGAACACCTAGGTGGTAACTCCTTGAAAGGTATAGGCAAAAGGCTTATTTGCATATGTGCAAGCATATGAAAGAAATACCATAAAACTAATATAAATTCATAGACATGTAAAATTAAGTAGTTTTTCAATGATTCATGAATTATACAAAAATCATATGCACTTAATTTTGTTTCATATTGGGTATCATTGTTTATTGAATATTCAAATAAAGAGCAGATAAAGTAGGTATCATTGTTTCATATTGGATATCCTAATTATAATTGTTAGACTTAGTTTTCACTCTATCGTGTCATTACAAGTGTTGCATACTTCCTAAAATACTAATGTAACCATAATAAGAAAACAAATTATGTTATAGCAATTAAGATATAGTGGTGTGCATCAGGGCTGAAAAAACAAGCATAACATAGAAGATTTACCAAAACAACATATTCACTGAATCATTGTTGTTATGGTTCATTGCACAAGTGTGTAAAGCAATTGTTTTTGCTTGTATCTTGTTATTAAAAATATACTTGCACCTTGTGTTACTAAGAATCAGAGTTTTTTTATATGTTTTAGTTTATTATTATTCTTTATAATTAATTATTTGTAACAAACTACATCTTAAAAGAAAAAGTGGGCCTTAAGGTCTTAAGCTTCCTAGGGTCCATCTAGGGTTGGGACACAAAAAAAAAATCCCACACCTATAGGTTGTGGGGGTAGCTAAATGACCTAGGTTCATTGCTTAGGCAGCCAATGTTAATTATGAAACCATCAGAAAGAATCCATCTGACTTGTAAGGATTGTCTTTCATTAAGCAAACTCCTCATTTGATGTTCATTATTAAGTATTGTAAGACAATCCTATCAATCATGTTTATGAAATTTTGATTTCTACATTCAGCTCTTACAAGGATTCCTTAAGGACCTTCCTACACAGAAATAAAAGGATGCATATCAGCCCACTCTGTTCAAGATTAGGATCAATCCCCTTAATTGACCCGAAAAAATCCTTGAAATCATTTTATGGTCACCAAGACTTCAAAACAGAAATCATAGGCTCGTCATAAATAAAGATAAACATGAACTTTGGAGTTTCGTCTAGATCCTCAAACCTTAGTCCTTTCTGAAGATAGAGCCACATAAGGATATTTTCATATATATACAATTTCAGTGTGTAAATGTTCACATGAAATGGGCAATGTGAAGATTGTTTGTAATGACCACTATATTTCATCAAAGCATGATACATAACCTGAGCAAGCATAGTGAAATGTTGGACTACCAATGCGTTTGTAGTTATGGGAGGAAATAAGTGACTAGTTAATGACCATTCTTGTAGTGTAGTTTCTCATATTTGTATTTCCTGTGCTTCCAGTACTCTAGTAATTTATCAAGGATGTTTGCATTTCGGCATCCTCAAGCTTTACATTTTCTGATCAGTTTCATATAAGAATTAATGGTTCTTCGTCAAGCTAATGCTACTTATTCCTCGCAAAATTTATCCGACTCTATGCATTGGTTCTTGTGCAAAACTAATTTATGATTTCTGTCTCTCTGATTAGGTCATCTCCATTAGCATCTATTACCATCCGCAACCTTTTGCTATATACAACAAACGAAAGCTGGCAGGTATTAACTCTAGAATGATGTAGCATCCATTTATTCTAAGGTTGCATGACTAAATTCCATTTCATTCATTTCCTGGTAACAGGTAGTCAATCTCAAGGAAGCGCGGGATTTTTCCAATAACAAGAAATTCATATATGTTTTCAAGGTTTTCATTATTGCTGATATAGACAACTTGTTCCACAGTTTGTTATGTTTGTTATATTTGCAAGTCAGAAAATTTTTTCCTGTTTTGCACTGAAATCATAATTTCTTATGTACTGCAGAAGTTGGAATGGGAATCACTTTCGGTGGACCTTTTACCACATCCAGATATGTTCATGGATGCACGTATGGCGTCTTCTAGCAACCAAGGGAATAAGCGAGATGCTGATGGCGCAAAGCGATTGTTTTTTGGCGGTGAAAGGTTCCTAGAAGGAATTTCTGGAGAGGCTCATGTAATGCAATATCATTTTCTAGATATAAAATTAAATTATTTGGACCACAATGGCACTCTTAAGTTATTGATTATTCATTATACTTCAGATCACAGTGCAGAGGACAGAACATAATAGTCCACTAGGGCTTGAGGTTCAGTTGCATATTCCTGAAGCTGTTTGTCCTGCTTTAAGTGAACCAGGTGATGAATGATCATTATCTAGCTCAATTATAATTTAATTTGTGCTTATTTTGTTGACATATTTATGTTTGAGCAGGCCTACGAGCTCTTCTCCGTTTTATGACTGGTTTCTATGTTTGCTTAAATAGGGGAGATGTGGATCCAAAGGCTCAACAGGTTTCTACTAATTTTATGATTTTCTTATTATTATAGTCTGAAATTTTGTTGAAATACAGTTAGACATTTGGAATATAATAAGGAGCCTCAAACCTCAATCTCATTTGGGCAGCGTTGTACTGAAGCAGCAGGATGTTCACTGGTTTCTATTATCATCGATCATATCTTTCTCTGTATTAAAGATGCTGGTGAGGGTCACTGAAGAATCTGTAAGAATGTTATCCATTCTGCTATCATGAATCTGAGACACACAATTGTCTTGTTTTTCAGACTTCCAACTTGAACTTTTGATGCAGTCACTCTTTTTCTCAAGGGTAAAAACTTCTTCATTTTCAGTTTTTGTGGTTAATCTTGAATAATTTCTTGTTCAAATCTTATTTCTTAGAATAATAGTCCACTTTGCTTTAGGACAAAATTTGTGTGGCTATTATAGATGCTATCTTCCAGTTCTCTTGCTTTTATGTCGTGTGCAACATGGATGTAGGAAAAAGAAGAATGTCATGATTTTATGAATTCTATGAGGATTTGCTGATTCCTGTGTTTATAAGTCTGTTTCTAAAGCATGCTAATACCTCTGTGTTCCTGATTTGTGATGTTTGTTGAACTCATCTGGAGCTATGTTGTCTAATAGGCTAGTCTATCTGATGGAGAAACTACAAAAACCTTGTCTCGCATTATGCTCGGTGGACTATTTCTGAGGTAATTCCAGTGCTTCTGTTTCCAAAAAATTCTCACACATTCAATATCAGAAATCTATTTTTTCCCTTTACATTTTAAAATGATCTTTCAAACAAATCCATAGTTGGTCATGCTTAGGAAGTTGTGGATCAGTGGACCATATTCATTATTGAAAAATTGGCACATCTGGCAAATGATGTGTGTGCGTGAGAGTGAGGGAGAGAGATGTTCTGAGACATGCCATGATTAAGTAAATATAGGTGAAAACTGCAATGTGTTTTGATGTCTTGTGTTAATGTTCTTGAAGTGGAAGCTTGGTACTAGATGTAAAATGTTGAGTTCTCTTGTAGGGAGATACTGTTGCAATTCTAAATTTTGTTTGAGTTTCACTTTATAAGTTAGACTAACAAAGGTGAAATGCAGTATTATTTTCGAGTGTTAGGCAACTGATGAGAAAGATAGAGGGTGATTAAAGTGAAATTGGGTCCCTTGAAAGAGAGATTATAATGGATTCATCTTTTCATCTAAGGGACTTATTTTGCCTTGACTGGTAGCTGAGCACTAATTTTTAATTTTCATGGCAAATGTTTCAAGATTGTTAGTTTGCATGTTGTGTATCAGTATATTGCTGATATTTTCTACTCATTACTAACTTTTCACTCAGTGAACGATTTCGACAAGTAAAAGGACTGACTAGAAGAAGATCATGAGAGTTGAAGCAGTTGGATGCTAAATGTTCTAATTAAAAAGAAAATTTGTCCAAAATGATAGAAACTCCGAAAAGATGCCACTGGCTTCACGAACTATTAAAGTTTGTGAGAGAACTCAGTCTCTGTATTTAGAGTTGTCATTAAGATTCCGAGAAGCTGAAAGGATAAATGGTGGTAGTGGCTTGGGATTCTTGTGCTTTCCTACTCTGTTATTAGATTTTCTCATATTTACGGGAAACGACAGGTATATGCTTTTAGACAATGTATGCAGGACATGATAGCATGTGATTTTTTTTCTGTAACAAGCAAATAAAGCAGACTTCAGTTTTCCTAAATCTGCTTTTAGACCAAGCAATAATGGAATGGTATCCTTTTACTCTTCAGTGTATAGCTTCTAAATAGCTGGTTTCTGTTAAATAACATTTTCTCTAGGTGCATCATGGAAATTCATAATAAGAGCACATGCCGAAGAGTGCTCTCTCTCGAACATATGTTGGCTCTATGTGTCATTGCTACTACCATAAGTTCGAGCCAATCATCTCCATGACGTTCATGTACTTGGGATTAATTGAGCAGTTGCCACAGTTTGATACTTAAACAATCTGTTTTATTGGTTTGCTCTGGAGTTTACAAGTTTGCATAGAAGCAAATGCTAATATTAATCTTTTGCATTCTTTTGTACAATACATCATTGCTTGTGTTTGTGGGAAAGGATTGCTGTGCTAGTTGGTGTTGATAGTGTCAACACACAGACACTCCAACTTTTGGCATGTCTCGGTTGGCACAGGGGGTGTTTATCAGCATGGCATGGTAGCTACCATGGTAAAAGGTTATTAGCATTTAGCACAACCTCATGCCATGAAAAGATTCTTGTTGGTAAGATTCTGCCTATTGACATTATATCTGGCCTTTGGAGTATTAGTCATCACTGTTACGATAAAGCAATCCTCGTGTTTTCTAAATATTGGTTGGCATAGCCAAATTACTATTATGGCCTTCAACACTGAACTTCTACTGCTACTCCAGCACCCAGTCATGATTTTGAGCACCACTTGAATATGCCGGAGTCCAAGACTTTGATAATGGAACTCCTAAGCATAGCCTACTGCTCTATTCAGGAAAAGGAATATGAAAGAAAAAAAGAAATCTATGGTATAGACTTCTGATTCTTTAGTTAAAGAAAGAGAGAAAATCCATGTGTAGATTTCTGATTCTCTGGTTTGCAATGCCATGGCTTTATCTGATGCCTGAGATAACTGTTAAGATTGTTCAAGTGTTTTGTCATCATTCATTTCTTAACTTTCCCTTTTGAGTTGAAAAACTTATATTGCCAGAAATAGAATACTGAGTAGTGGTAAACTATAAGACATACTAGAGCAATTCTACCTGCATATTTTACACTTTAGCATCCATGCTAATTTAGTAATAATTTCAGTGGAACATTGAATTTCATGATGGTACTTCTCTTTGTTTTTTCAACATATGGATCCTTTTTATATCATTACCAGATGTCATTAGTAATTTGCTTATTTCTTTTTAATTCTATGATACTGGGTTAGGTGTTGGAGTTTCAAAGTATTAATCAAATTTCTTGTTGATTTAAGGCATGATGAAAAATATGGGACAACTGTTGAAAGTTGCAACTGATATCTTATATAGATCTTGTCAAACTTTGTTTTTCTTTTTTGCCATTTCTAGTGCTATACTATTGAGTTAAACATGCAAACTGTTTTCTCATTTGCAGGGACACCTTTTCACACCCTCCATGCACATTAATACAGCCGTCTCTGAGGGCTACACCAGAGGAACTTCTACATGTCCCAGCATTTGGTTGTTACCCGAATTCATTGTTACATTTTACCATCATATTTATTCAACTATCTTTTGTCAAACTAGGGTTGCATTGACTTTTACTTGAAACTGATTATTTTCATCATATTTTGAGCAGGTCAGAACTTCTGCCCTCCAATTTATCCTTTAGAAGATCAGCACATGAACTTCAGTATTGGCATTCCTTTGATTTCTCTCCATTCTCTTCAAATCAATCCTTCACCTACCCCTCCAAAGTTTGCTTCACAGACGGTTATTGATTGTCAACCACTTATGGTACACTTACTGCCAACCATAAGGTTTCATGTTGTTGGCACTTGTTTTTATTTTGTACATTTAGTTAGTTAATTAAAATAGGATTTCTTTATTTTCAGATTACTCTTCAGGAAGAATCCTGTTTAAGGATTTCCTCTTTCTTAGCTGATGGAATCATGGTCAATCCTGGTGCTGTGCTGCCTGATTTTTCAGTGAACTCCTTTGAATTTAGCCTGAAAGAGTTTGACCTTGCTGTACCTTTAGAAGCTCAAAAAACTAGTAACTTGTCCGGAAATGGAAATTATGGTTCTCATGCATCCTTTTCTGGAGCAAGACTTCATGTTGAGGACCTGTATTTTGCTATATCACCATCAATAAAATGTACTTTGCTAAATCTGGAAGCAGATCCAGCTTGCTTTAGCCTCTGGGAATATCAACCAATTGATGCTAGTCAGAAGAAGTGGACTACTCGAGCTTCACATCTTAGTGTTTCACTGGAAACCTGCAATAGTTCAACAATACAGTTAAGTTCCACTGATTGGCATGCTGGTTTGTGGAGATGCGTTGAGCTCCATGAAGTATGTTTTGAGGCAGCTATGGCAACTGCAGATGGGGGCCCTTTGATAGAAGTACCTCCTCCAGAAGGTGTAGTCAGAATTGGAGTTTTCTGCCAGCATTATATATCAAACGCTTCAGTCGAGCAGTTATTCTTCGTTTTAGATCTGTATGCCTATTTTGGCGGTGTCAGTGAAAAAATAAGAAAAGCTAGCAAAGGTAACAAACAGAGGAGTGGTGATTATTTTGGTGATAAGATGATGAAAAAGATGCCCAGTGATACTGCAGTAAGCTTAACCATAAACAATCTCCGCCTTAAATTTTTGGAATCTTCATCTATCGATATTCATGGCATGCCTTTAGTTCAGTTTGATGGACAAGATCTGTTCCTAAAAGTTTCTCACCGGACTCTAGGTGGTGCTTTTGCAGTATCAACTAGCTTACTCTGGGAGACTGTTTCCATTTACTGTTTGGATGGAATGGATGCATTGTCTCAAGAGAATGGCATACAGACACCAAGTGAACATGACAGTCTAGCTAATGGCAATGGATATACCCAAATGAGAGCTGTTTTCTGGGTTGATAATCAAAACAAGCGTCAAAAGAAACCAGTTCCATTTCTTGACATGACCATGGTCCATGTGATGCCTTACGATCTACAAGATACAGAAAGTCATAGTCTGAATGCATCTTTTAAGGTCAATGGTGTACGTCTAGGTGGAGGAATGCATTATACTGAGTCGTTGCTGCATCGATTTGGTATACTTGGGCCAGATGGTGGCCCAGGAGAAGGACTCTTGAAAGGATTAAAGAATTTATCCTCAGGACCACTAGCAAAACTTTTCAAAACATCACCTCCTCCCATTGAAGCCACTAAGGAAGAAAGTAAGGCAATTATATTTAGAACGATACATTTTTACATATTCTCTATGATACCTAAAGAATTGTCATACAGTACAGGAACTAGCTTATCATGTTTAGGTGCAGCTTTTGATTGCATTCTGAAGTGCATCTTTGCTTGTACAATAGCACAGTAACTATTGGAACATCAGGGTAAATGCCTAACCATGGAATAGTGATGCTGATAAAGTGCTTATAAAGAATCCTGTTGTCTTCCAGAAAGAGATTAACATAGTGGCTTCTGACTTCTGAGCTTCTTAAAATATAGAGTTATAGTGCCTTTTAATTTGTTTTCTTTTTTTCTGGTAACTCTTGTAACTTGTTGCTCGTCTATACTGATATATGCCTCTGTTCATGGAAATAACAGAAGAAAGACACTAATGTGTATTGCTTGTATAATATTGTATATCTTATTATGTGGCCATGCAAAGATCTGGTTCAATATCTACTTACTGTTAAGGAGCATGCAACTAATTATTGTCCTGAGTAGTGCAGTCTCTAAATCCTGTATGTGAAATTAGGCAGTTATATTTTTTGTGCTTCTATCTTTTGTTTTTATATAGATTAGATAGGTGTTTTTTGGTAGATTGATGGTCATCATTTTCATATCAGATGAAACTTCCGAGGAAGAGGATCATGGCAGACTTTTGGAGATGCGGATGCCTGATGATGTTGATGTATGTATAGCATTCAACAATTGGTTATTTGCTCTAGAAGGAACACAGGAGATGGAAGAAGGATGGTTGCAGTGTGCAGGTGATAATCTAAGCAGAGAAGAAAGATGTTGGCATACAACCTTCCAAAGTTTCCATGTAAAAGCAAAGAGTAATTCTGAACCAAATTTTAGAAACAAGGTGAACTTGGGCACAAAACGTAAGTTTCCTGTGGAATTGATCATGGTAAGCATTTAGTGTATTTAAATTTTCTGCTGCCTTTCAAAATAGCACATATTTTCTATCTTTTTTATTGGTTGCAAATTTAAAGTTATTGTCCAGCATGTATGGTCAGTCAACCTAAAAATATCATTCAATTTTGGTAGATGAGTGGTAAACTGTGTGATATCAGCATCTGATAGCTGGTTGGACCAGTAGTATGGCAGGCTCATTCTACCAAGCAATTCTAGACTTTGATACTGAGTAAATTAGCAGGTAAACATAATCTGTGTTATTACGTATCGCAGAAACTTCAATATATGGAGGGCCTGTAGTCATATATTAGCATCTAAGTTGAATTACAACATATGCACTGATAACCCACAAGCGATCTGATCCTTTCCCATTAAAGGCATACATGCACCTGGAAATTTGTGCTAAAGATTTAGCATCCATCAGAATGAGCGAGTGGCTTAAAGATATGTTGGGATCTATATCACATATCACAGGTTGGCGTAATTCAAAGTGAATGTGCTTTCTAGACCTGCCAGTATACATTCTCCATGATCCCAATGGATCTTCAAAATCAGTAATATCCTTCTGATTAATCAATAAAAGATAAACTTAAGCTTGGGCCATCATCGTAGAAGACAACAATTTTCCTTTGATTTGTAAAAATGTGGTAAAATTTTCCCTTGTTGTTCACTTGTTATATTTGTTGATGTGTAGCTTGGGATAATTGCAGGTAGGTATAGAAGGTTTACAGGCATTGAAGCCACATCCAAAGGATGTTAACCAAGTAGAGAGAGATCTGACATTCGGCAACATCAATAATAATGGTGTAGATATTGAAGTCTGCTTAATTGTCCCTGAGGATGATAGTGATCTGGAGGCAAAGTGGAGTGTGGAGAATGTAAAGTTTTCAGTTAAACAACCGGTAAAAGAAATAGCACTTTTATTTTTTTTTTCTCTCTTGTTCCCTTTGTGTGGGGGTGGAAATTTAGATGTGCATAATGCTTTGTCATGCAGATCGAGGCAGTTGCTACAAAGGAGGAACTGGAGCACCTTGCTTTTCTTTGCAGGTCTGAAGTCGATTCGGTTGGTAGAATCGCTGCAGGAATGTTGCGTTTGCTTAGGCTTGATAAGTCACTCGGCCAGGGTGCTATAGATCAGCTCTCAAACCTAGGTACGCAATTTTTTTTTTGGAAAATGTGCTTCCCATATGTTTCTCTTAGTTAAGAATGATTGAGCTGGGTCTTTAAATGGGCGAAATAATAGTTTACACATGTTAAGATTCCGACATGAATAAGAGAAAGCTTGTAACCGAACCTTAATTTTGATATCCTACTGATATCCAGGCTTGATTAAACAAGAAAATAAATCTTCACAGTTATGACTAGTTTGTAACCGTATCTTGAAACTGGTAAATTGTCTTGTGATCATTTTCTTGTGAAGTCACCGATCCACAATCTGTTTTATAGTGTGAAAACCCCATGAAAAATTTACCTCCTCTTTCGACCTCTTCATTTTCATGTTTATCATACCGTGACTTGCTTGCAGGAAGTGGGAGCATAGACAAAGTTCTGACACCAGAAAAACTGAGTAGGCGAAGTAGTTTTGCCAGTGTCAGCTTCACCCCCAGGGCTCCGACTTCAAATGCAATACTAGAGAGCCCAAATGAAAGCGTGGAATCGACCATTACCATGTTAGAAGTAGAAATTTTGGATTTGCAGTCCAAGTGCTCTTCGCTTATTTCAGAGTTAGGTAGCTCAGACGGCTCCGAACATGTTTCAGATGTAAAATACTTCACAGAGAAGCTCGAGAACATGCAAACTCTGTTGACCAGGTTGCGGACTCTTGTTTAATTCTGTTGCCAGGTGGACTTTTTGTTCTGGTCAGGAAAAAAATTCTGACCACTATTGTATTCACTTAATTCTTTTTGTACATAAAAGTGGGAATGTTGTTCTACATACTGGCTTGAAATAAGCAACAGGTCAACTGCCGCCATAGATATATATAGGGATTTTGTTATTCCCCATGGTTTGATGAACATCGTTCTTATGAGTTGACGGAAAATAGTAATTGGGTCTAGTTATGCATTGCTGGATTGTGGAAAGAATGCTATGGTTTGTCTTCTACTCTGTCATCAGAATTGCTCCAACTCATAATTCAGTTCTTGTGAACAATGTTCATCTATCAAGTGTGCAAGATTCTTTTGGTCGTTGCAAATGATGTGGTGAGAACAGGGTTCAACAATTAACATCTTTACTAACTAAACTAATTGATATCTTCTTAAGGAGGAAACTAATAGGGTCATTTGTTTTTTCTGCTTACAGAAGGTTTTTCGGAGCTGCATGAGTCTGAGCAATAGAAAGGTGGTAGTTAGTAATCTTAGTTAATAAAGATTTTATTAGACCATCATAAGGTCCTAAATTAAATTCTACCTTCACCATTTGTGATTAGTTTTACAGAACATTGCACCGTATTCCTTTAGGTTTACAAAACAGAAACGGAGACATGAAAGCTTTTATATATAAAAAATGATATACACTGCATGATCCAGTAAGAACAAGTCTAAAATCGTGAACATTGTTTACTTGTCCATACGTAATGCCCACAGCATCCATTGCAGTGGGGAAACCAGAGCTCTTCCTTTCAAATTTGGTCTTCTTCTCATCTTTCAGTCCTTGAAATGCCTCATGAAGAAAAATCCAAAACAAAAAAGTCAGTTCGGAGTCGAAGTCGTTTTAGGAAGAAGAGTGGTAAATGGAACTATCAGTCATTCATTCATTCATTCATTCGATGGGAAGTAGTACTTGAGTAGGGCTTCAGCAAGATGGCTGCTCGCAAATGCTCATAGCTGCTGCCTTCAACCAAGAAATGATACGTTCCATCCTCTTAGAAAGATGGATACAAACTTCCATGCATAAACAGCAGCAGCTCATTTCAGTAGAGTAGAGAATCTACACTACTGGCTGACCATTCATTTTAACTTTCTAACCTTTCAAAAAGAAACAAAAGAGTTGGTAGATATAGGAAGAGGCTTTTGATACAAATGAACATCCACTATGATCAAAATATGTGAGAAACCAACATGGATTCGAAGCTCAATTGAACTGTCATTCTCAGGCATTCTCGAGGTGAAACCCCATTCTGCTCTATCAAAGAATGAACATACAAAAAGATTCTGCATTCATTCAAACTTCCATGGTAATAATAATCATAAATCCTCAACACAAGGTGGTGAGGTTCACCTTTTATTCCATTAATTATAGATGCAATACTCCAGCATATCAGAACATACCATCCAAATACAGGACCGACTAGTACTAAACTTCAAACATAAACATCAGACACCAGAAGACTAGAGGAGCATCACACTAATAGCAGCAAATGCTGGAAGTTCACTGGCCACCGCGGAGACGAAGGACCAGGTGAAGAGTGGATTCCTTCTGGATGTTATAGTCTGCCAGTGTGCGCCCATCCTCGAGCTGCTTACCCGCAAAGATTAGCCTCTGTTGGTCTGGTGGGATTCCCTCCTTGTCCTGTATCTTTGCCTTCACATTGTCGATAGTGTCCGAGCTCTCAACCTCCAGAGTGATGGTCTTCCCCGTGAGGGTTTTCACAAAAATTTGCATCCCTCCCCTGAGCCTCAGCACCAAGTGGAGGGTAGATTCCTTCTGGATATTATAGTCAGCCAAGGTGCGGCCATCCTCCAATTGCTTGCCAGCAAAGATGAGCCTCTGCTGGTCTGGAGGAATGCCCTCCTTGTCCTGTATCTTTGCCTTCACATTGTCGATAGTGTCCGAGCTCTCAACCTCAAGGGTGATGGTCTTACCGG